TTCTCACACGGTAAAAAGGTGAGGAAGAGAAAGGACTTTCCTGACATTAGGAAAAAATGTTAGTGCAAATGAGAAGAAGAAATTCATTTCCCCTTGCAGCCTGCTATTAATGTTACAGATTTCGGCATTTTGACCCTATCCCATTACTAAACAGCATAGCTCACTGACAAAAGGTTTATTTCCAAGCAGTGATTAAATAAACAACTTTGTCACCCGATTTGCAAACAAGCACTCAAACTGAAAAACTGTTTTGCACTTTTCTAGCATTTGTATAGCAAACTTAACAGGCTTGGAGCAACCCTTTCGCAGTTCGGAAACACTGGCTTATTGAAAGCTTGTGCCAAAGGCAGAGACAGCAACCACAGAAGCCCTAGGAGGCGTATGTTATTTAATTAACCAAATTACTTAAAATTCTTTTGTTCATTTCAAAATGCTTTCAGCTTTTCCATATAAAGGTACGAATATGGAATTTGCCATTCAGACTGATCAGATGTGCACTGAATGACTTACTCTGTACCAAAACATGACAGACCTCACACTCAAAATTGCACCTCCTCTGTAGCCAGTTTTGAAAAACATTTTGTAAACCTTATTTTACAATTCCCACTTACTAATTTCTTTAAGTCTTGCAGAGAGAAACCTAAAGCTTAGGCCCAATTAAAGGGGAGGGGGCTAGAAATTGTTCACAGCTACCAGAAACCGTCCCAAGTGCCCTGCGACTATAAAATCATCAACCACTGAACATTTATCATTTTTGCAGATCACAGGCTCACATTCAAGACAAACATTAATGGGGCTGAAACAGGCCTCACTATCTTTGCAGGCATGCTGTCAGTTCTACCAAAGGGCTAGTAACTGAGGGCTAAATAACTGTCAAATCACTACTGCTGCTTATGGATGCATGTCACAACTCTTGCTGCTATTTGGCTTTAAAAGTAATCTTCTGGGACTCCCAACTCCCATATGAGTCTTCGGCTGACTTTATCTACTTCAGAATCAGTGATACACATGTGATAGGCATTCAGAAACAATCTTAGTGACATTTACAACTTGGTTATGACCACAAGGGTGTCCTCTGGTAACCATGACCTAGCCCTGTCTGTCAGACAAGCAGCATGTAGCAGCAGCTGCCGAGGAAATGGAGTGGCTCCTAGCTAAGGTCACCACATGTGGTTTATTTTTACGCTGAAATAAAACAAAAAAGAAATTAAAGCTGCTGAATAATGAAAAAAAAAAAAGAAAACCAAATTTTCAAATAGAGGACCAAAAAAATTAAGCTTTTAAGTAGGTAGTTTCTTATTTGGCTCTCTGCTTGTATTGTGGAGGTTTTAAAAACCTTTTTCCCTAAGACAATACTTCAACTGTAGTTTGGGGGTTTTTTTAAGTAAAAAACTGGAAAGGATACTATTGATGATAAAAGAGAATCCTTATCTCAGACGTTCAGAAGTGGTGCCTAGATGAGCTCCAGAAACTGACATCTTCAAGAGATCTTTATTTACAAATAATAAAACTACTGAAAATGTAACAAGAGTAAGACTCATTTCATACACGGTTATACATCGTACAATACAATCTCCCTAACACACAAGATCAGTAACGCTCCTCTCCTGCATATTCCCCCCCAATATTTGAGGAACTGGAGAACTGGATAGGTAGTTTAGACAGAAAGGAATGTTCTCCCTTCTATTGTGAGAATTCCTTCAAATAATCCTTTACATCATGTTCTTTTCGTATACCCTCTCAGTTTCCCTAAATGCTGGTGCATCTAATTACCACAGCATCAAAATTGTATTTCTACACCACTAGATGAATCAACTACATCTACCTGAAAAATGCTTCAAGAAGTTCTTCACAGCACTAAAACCATTGAAAACAGAACATCTACTGTAGAGGGGGAAAAATGTACTACAGCATACGCAAACACCATTGTTTTTTTCTGTGCTTGAATTACACTCCTAAAATTGCCAGGCATTTTATTCTGTCACGCAGTACAGAATTTACACTTGTGCAAAGTGTAACCTCTCTCAGCCTTCACCTACAGGAGACCTACATAAAGAGGTCTTCTCTTGGCCATCAACCATGACATGAGTTATGCAGAGTCTTAGTGATGAGTTATGGATTATCAGCTCAAACAGCAGAGTTTTCTTTTGGATTAGAAACCCTGGACTGATTCCCACATGTAACTCATCCACATTAAATGAATACAAAATAACCACAAAGACACACAGTTCTAATTTAACAAATTTCTTCTGCACTTCACAAAAGTAAATTAAGCAAAATCTGTAGAATTCTAAGGACAATGATTTAAATTACACAGAGGTATTTCAAAGCATTCTTCACATTTAAGCTGTACTTCAAATAAAATTGCATTTTTGATACCATTCCTTGGTTTTACATCTGTATTGTTAACTTACATAATAAACAGCATAAAGTTCTACTGGGGAGAGCTGTAATCAGTCATAGATAAAAGCTTTAGAAACTTCCAATAGCTTTTGAAAAGCTACTAGAAGCTTCTAGTCATACAATCAAGGCTTAAAAATGTATTTAACAAATATGACAGTACAAATGGACAATATGTTTACTGCTTAAAGAGGAATGCAGTGAGATCCTTAAAAAGTCTGTCTGCAACACCTGTAAAGGATAGTGGTTTACTAAAAGGATCACCTGTGTCACAGAGTCACCTGTGTGACTGAGTAACAAAGAGAAACCACCATCAGCTGGCATTTGAACTCACCTCTGATGGCAAAAGCAACAGAAGGTGGTGGTGGTGATTTATATACATTTCTATCAGAGCCCCTTTTCAAATCAATGTTTTAAAGATGACTCAATAATAGAGGCAAATTTCATTCTTTCTGAGAAAGGAAGGAAGTTTCAGTTCATGACAATTTTGAAGACTATCATCTGAAAGGGGGCTCACTTGATCATAGCTAGATACTGACTCCAAGGAGAAAAAGAAGCTAATTAGTTATGCCAAAAGCTGTTCTCCCCCTTGGGAAGAGCTATTCAGTGATATATACCCTGAGCTGGCTCTGCTGGAACAGGCTGGTGATGTCATTCTTGGACCACAGGTGGGCTTCCAAAGCCCTTTGGAGCATTGCTACCTACTGTTACCTGCGAGGCAAGCTTGACATAGAAAAGCTGGAAGGAGACACTTCATGCTGAGTACACAAACCCATTTCTGCCAACTTTCCTTCCCAGCAAACACACCAACGGATTAGCATGCATCAGAGCGCACAGTTTGAGTATTTAGCAAATAACTAGCAAAAAGTCTGCAAAATAGGAGTTACTGGATAAATTTATTTTCTGTTCTGAGCACCCTATTCTGAAGTGACAGCAGATAGCCGAGGACATTTTTCTGTTTACAGAAAGCAAGCCAGGTTTGACTACGATAACCTTCCAGTATCTAAATAGGGCCTACAAGAAAGCTGGAGAGGGACTTTTTACAAGGGCGTGAAGGGACAAGCAGGAAT